TGTCAGGTGGGCGTGTCGTGTAGTGTCGTGTACTGGCCGCGGCCGCAGCTAGACCATATTGCTAATTTCAGCTGCAGAAACCATTCAACTATTAACTTATTCAGCTATTTCAGGACAATGAGGCTATCAATGTTGTTTTTTAAACCTTTTCTTTTAAATATTAAGCTTCTTCACTATTTTTCCTACTCTGCAATGCATTTGAGCTGTAACAATTTTGATTCAATCAGCCTTTTCAACACATGATGGGAAACTTTCAACTTTTTCTAAATATGTTATACTTTTTTAAATGTTCAGCTTTTTAAAGTCTTTTTTTAACATGGAAGTCATTGCAATGCATTTGAGCTGTAACAATTTGATTCAAATCATTTCACTTTTCTGCATTTCTCTGCTAAGTTCAGCAACACACTGACTTGGTCTCTGTAGTTAAAAGCAGCTACCATTCAGCTAATAACATATTCAGCTTTTTCTGCATTTTCAGCTAAATTCAGCCACAAATGTTCACAGTTTACAGCATTCGCACGCATTTTCTGCAGGAAATGCATTTTCTAGTTGTATATAGTTGAACAAACGTTACATTTTCTCTGCTAATAATAACAAGACAAAAAGATCCAACTATAATTTTATATGTTATTATGGATTGAACATGAACCAAAGTGCTTGTATTGGCAGATGATCCTGTGCCACTGTGAAATAATGAGTTATAATGGAAACAATTACAAATTGTTTTATTGATCCAGTATTGCTATGATGGCACTCTCTGCACGGTGGAGGAGTTGGGAGTCATTCTTCAGAAGCAGCTCCTTTAAGCAGCTCATTTATTATGAGGGTCAGACCAACGTTCTTCTGCGGGGGGGCGACGAGTCATGTGAATACAACTATAGACTAGGATTGTTCCAAGATTTTAAATCTGTTGCATGTCTTACCTTCTGGATCTTGTCATAGGCCTGATCATGCTGCCTACCAGATCTGGCCAGTCTGGTCTTGAGCCCGTTGACCATTTTCTCCATATGCTCACGCTGCCGACAGAAAGCCCTATAAAATTCTCCTTCAACGTCACTTTGCTCCACCTAGAAAACAACACAAGCAGACTCCCAATGAGACTGGGACCGAATTTAACCCCTGCACTCTTTAGGAGCCCCTATTCTGCTGATGTTCAGGTGTATATCAGTATGTAGTGTCTCTACTTTAAAGAGTCCTCTCCTGCTGATGTTCAGGTGTATATCAGTATGTAGTGTCTCTACTTTAAAGAGTCCTCTCCTGCTGATGTTCAGGTGTATATCAGTATGTAATGTCTCTACTTTAAAGAGTCCTCTCCTGCTGATGTTCAGGTGTATATCAGTATGCCATGATATGTTTGGCTGCTTCACAGGGATTTTGACTTTGACACCATGTTCAGGGAGCATGTGGAAACTTGGGCATGCCTTCGTACACGGGTAGAGGCACACAAGCAGGGGTCGTCAGGCTGTCACCACTGGGGCACAGACTCCGACAGATTTATTGGCTTACAGTAATCCATCTAGATCTGAGCTGTCAAAGCAGGCAGCAGCAGAGCGGCAGGCTGGGGGATGAGAAAGAGAAACAGAGGATGTGAAAATGAGTGAAGGAAATAGCCAAAGTAAATGGGAACTCAAAAAATGTATAAATGCAAAGAGGAATAGAGTACTTGATGTCATTTTCGTTGACCTGACACCTTAAAGGCGCCCTATTATGCTTGTTCCTTTTCCTGTTGTGTGTTATATAGGTTTTCTGTGCATGTAAATGGTCTGCAAAGGCTAACATCCCAAAGTTCACGTCAGAGGGAGTTTCTCTCCAACACACCCGCTTAAATTAACAAAAAGTCTTCCAAATATAGATTATTTCACAAGTTTAAAGACTACTTCTACAGCACCATGTCAGGCCGAGAGGTTCAGAAATGAGAGCAGAGAGGATGAAAAAGTGTGCCAAATTTTTTCTTTTTGCTACTTGCTAACTTTAATCTGATAGTTATTTATTTTTTATGTCAGATAATGCTGCATCGATAAGTTAACTAAACGATTTTTAATGCAAACATTTCAGAAAATGTTGTTTCCAAACTCTCAAATATGGAGATTACCTGCATTCCTTTTAAATATCATATTTTACTGAATGTCTTTGGATTGTGGACTGATAACACAAGACATTTAAAGCCATCAGAACTTTGAGAAACTGGGATGGAGATCTTTAATGATAAATGTATCATCATAAATAACTGTTAGTTGTTGGAGAGAGAGTTGTAGTAGAACATTTTGGTTTGCTATTACGAGAACGTGTGGGTTAATCTGCGAAAAGGCTTTTGTCCGCGGAGTCATATTGACTGAAACCTGGTGGCGGACAGACTTCAGCTCCCACCAGAGAAAGCTAACAGCAGGCCAGGGGGACCCCGGCTTAGAGAGTGCACCATACACCCACCAACACTCTGTGTGTCTGAAAACTGATGTGGGTTTATTTACAAAAACAAATGTGGATAAAAACATGGGAAGTTCTGCTCTGATTCCACAGTTTTCCACTTAAATATTTGTATTTGCTTTATAAATAAATACAGACGCCAAATATTTATTTCAACGAGATACTGCCATCTCCATAATTCACCACAGTTTTCATGATGTTTGAATCGTGATATACATTCAAAGCTAAAGCTGTTGCGTTAGTATCAACATGTGTATGTCTCTCAGCTAAATAAATGGCATTTTAAAGTCATTAACTAAACCAGGGGTCTGCAACCTTTTTGACCAAAAGAGCCATTTTACCCCCTTTTCCAACTCAATTCAAAACCTTTATTTATCCAGGTGAAATCCCATTGAGATCAATGATCTCTTTTTCAAGGGAGACCTGCAGCAGTAGGTTCCACATGAAGACATAAAAACATAAACAACAGAACAACAAAAGGACATCATACAGCAACAATTACAGGGATTACAATTTACATATCTATCCACATGTACAGGTACCAACAGCATCTGATTGTGTAGCATCCAACCGAGCTTTAAAAACATGTAGTGGTACCAGATTGGTCATTTTCCATTCTTTTTGCAGACTGTTCCAAGTTAGTGGAGCTGCACATCTAAAAGCTTTCTTCCCTAAGACAGTCCTAGCACTTGGCACATTTAATAAAACCACAGCATGCGATCTCAGGCAATAACTACTTTCAATTCGCAGAGAGATCAGGGAGCAGATATAAGATGGTAGTTTATCCAACATGGCTTTGTAAATGAACGTGTACCAGTGACTGAGCCTCCGTACAGTAAGTGATGGCAAAACCGCCTTGGTTACAGTCAGTGTACAGTGATGTGTAAGTGCTTTACAGTTTGTCACAAATCTCAGTGCACTGTGATACGCAGCATCTAACTTGCTCAGGTAATTGGCAGGTGCATTCATATATAACAAATCACCATAGTCCAGCACAGGTCAAAAGGTCACAGAGCCTTTTCCTGGCCTCAAGCGAGAAACAGGACTTATTTCTGTAAAAGAAACCTAGCCCAACCCTCAGCTTTTTAAGCAGGTTATTGACATGAAATGTAAAAGTGAGACAGTCATCAAGCCAGATACCCAGGTATTATAGATATATACTATTTGTTTTGTCTGGAGCCGCAAAACATATTTGATAGCTTATAAAGTTGTATTTATTGTTATATCACAGACACAAACTACAGTTTTTTTGCATTTATTATGTATTACATTATAAAACTGTTAACCTCTAATAAGAACAAAGAACTCTTATAAGGAGAATTAAAAAAACAATACACAGGCCTACTTTCAAATGAATCAACACAGCACTTGGGGAGTCCTCTGCACATTTGAAGGGAACGAAATACAATTAAAATGTACCCACTTTGAAATAAATAAAACCTATAGCTGCACCCTAAAAATAGTTAACTGATTGAATTATGATGAAGATCGTCAGCTGTCTTCCTCTTCCGTGTTTCTCCTCGATACGTAAAGGCTGCAGCACCTTTGACAACTTCTCTCCACATATCAAACATCCCGGTAAGCATCGTTTGCTGTGAAAGCAGATAACTCTAACCACGCAGAATTAAATCCTGTGTTCCTCCGATACTTTTCTTTTCTTTGATTTATCCATAGTTCGCTCATCCTAATTTGTTCCTTAATGACCCCATGATGTGATTATGTATATCTTAAAACCTTTAACAACTATATTTAGATGTTCACAAATATCTACATTTATGTATAAAATACATGTGTAGCAGTTAGACAAACATAATCAATAGATTATCTCATTAATACCTATTTTATATATTAAAAAAAAGTTTACTAAACCACCGTTTGTTGACAAAATGATTTGGGTTGAAAGTTATACTGTTGTGTCTCAAACGGATAGACTAGGTTATTAATTTATTTGCCTAATAGTTGCTTAAAATGCTACAATAACATTTGCAATTCGTTTTTAATCTGCCATGTACGATCTCAATAATAATAAGTGTCGTCAATTCGCTTTTAATCTGCCATGTACGGTAATGTCTCTCAGCCACCGTAGTGTCGTGTCAGGTGGGCGTGTCGTGTAGTGTCGTGTACTGGCCGCGGCCGCAGCTAGACCATATTGCTAATTTCAGCTGCAGAAACCATTCAACTATTAACTTATTCAGCTATTTCAGGACAATGAGGCTATCAATGTTGTTTTTTAAACCTTTTCTTTTAAATATTAAGCTTCTTCACTATTTTTCCTACTCTGCAATGCATTTGAGCTGTAACCATTTTGATTCAATCAGCCTTTTCAACACATGATGGGAAACTTTCAACTTTTTCTAAATATGTTATACTTTTTTAAATGTTCAGCTTTTTAAAGTCTTTTTTTAACATGGAAGTCATTGCAATGCATTTGAGCTGTAACAATTTGATTCAAATCATTTCACTTTTCTGCATTTCTCTGCTAAGTTCAGCAACACACTGACTTGGTCTCTGTAGTTAAAAGCAGCTACCATTCAGCTAATAACATATTCAGCTTTTTCTGCATTTTCAGCTAAATTCAGCCACAAATGTTCACAGTTTACAGCATTCGCACGCATTTTCTGCAGGAAATGCATTTTCTAGTTGTATATAGTTGAACAAACGTTACATTTTCTCTGCTAATAATAACAAGACAAAAAGATCCAACTATAATTTTATATGTTATTATGGATTGAACATGAACCAAAGTGCTTGTATTGGCAGATGATCCTGTGCCACTGTGAAATAATGAGTTATAATGGAAACAATTACAAATTGTTTTATTGATCCAGTATTGCTATGATGGCACTCTCTGCACGGTGGAGGAGTTGGGAGTCATTCTTCAGAAGCAGCTCCTTTAAGCAGCTCATTTATTATGAGGGTCAGACCAACGTTCTTCTGCGGGGGGGCGACGAGTCATGTGAATACAACTATAGACTAGGATTGTTCCAAGATTTTAAATCTGTTGCATGTCTTACCTTCTGGATCTTGTCATAGGCCTGATCATGCTGCCTACCAGATCTGGCCAGTCTGGTCTTGAGCCCGTTGACCATTTTCTCCATATGCTCACGCTGCCGACAGAAAGCCCTATAAAATTCTCCTTCAACGTCACTTTGCTCCACCTAGAAAACAACACAAGCAGACTCCCAATGAGACTGGGACCGAATTTAACCCCTGCACTCTTTAGGAGCCCCTATTCTGCTGATGTTCAGGTGTATATCAGTATGTAGTGTCTCTACTTTAAAGAGTCCTCTCCTGCTGATGTTCAGGTGTATATCAGTATGTAGTGTCTCTACTTTAAAGAGTCCTCTCCTGCTGATGTTCAGGTGTATATCAGTATGTAATGTCTCTACTTTAAAGAGTTCTCTCTGAACCTTCACCCCGTCAGCAACATATCGGGCGTAGATCTTCATGATGCTCTCCTTAAGTTTTTTGGGCTCCTGGATTAAGCCCACACAGTTCTGGAGGTCTGCCTTTAGCCGCTGGAGATGTGTCTCCCGGTCTTTCAGCTGGACGCACAAAACATTTAGGATATTTCATTTTTTAACCACATCTTTCTTTTGGGAATGTGTAACTGTAAAGAGTTATTGGGGTCTTTAATAATTTCTACACTGGAAACAAAGCGGTGCATAAATTAGTTTTAAAGTTAAAGGAAAACTTCGAGCCAAAATGATCGGTTTGATTTCAACTTCTCCTGGCATTTAGTTATATAAATGAACAAAATGTTTCATCAGTTAGACAAATAAAGTGAGTATCTTCTTTAATGAAGACCATTTTGTGTTACTGTCCATCCCCTTCTGCTTAGCAGCGAATCAAATGAAGCTATCATCATCAGGGATGCAAACTTGTCACCTTTCGGCAAAATTCGCCGTTTTGAATCCAAAATAGGTCGTTTGTGTGATTGAATATTTTGGGACCCGGAGTAATCTGCGGCCGCGAGCTGTTATGTGCCATCATGACACGCATGGTGTTCTTTTTTTTTATATTATAATGAAGCGCGAGCTGTGTGCTCGAGTCTTCCTGCCTGTCGGCTCTGCTCATGGATGTATAATAAGGCTCTGCTGCTCCGGGATGAGGGTCTAGCTTCAGCAGCTACATTACCTACGGTGCGTTCGTTAATATTAACTGTGCGGTCCGGAGTCACTGTGGCACAGACTGGACCGCTGGTGAACAGCTATTAGAACGGGCCGTTCAGGTGTTCAGAGCAGAGCTCCCTGTCGGAGCGGCAGAGCGTGATGTGCACTGAAAAGTTTTTCTGTCACAATATTATTTAATGAATCGTTGAGCTCGCTAACTAGCATACATTGTCACTATCTGCTAACGTTAGCTTTAGCCTTCGTTTTCAAATAGTTTTTTTCATAGGCTATAAACGGAGGTGGTATAAGTATATATCTTGTACTTGAGTAAAAGTAGAAGCACTCAGATCTTGTACTAGAGTAAAAGTAGAAGTACTCAGATCTTGTACTTGAGTAAAAGTAGAAGTACTCAGGTCTTGTACTTGAGTAAAAGTAGAAGTACCAGAGTGTAGGAATACTCTGTTACAGTAAAAGTCCTGCATTCAAAATGTTCCCCAAGTAAAAGTAGAAAAGTATTCTCATCAAAATATAGTTAAAGTAGCGACAGTAAAAGTAGTCTTTGTGCAGATTGGTCCATTTCAGAATAATATATATGATATGTTTTATAATGATTGATCATGAAAGTGTTCTCAAAGCTGGTAAAGGTGCAGCTAGTTTGAATGACTTTGTATACTTGTGAATAGCTTGTGAATTTACTCCAGGTGGAACTAAAGTCTGATTTAACACTTGATTAGATTTCACATCATTCATCCACATCTGTAAAGTAACTAAAGGTATTAAATACATGTAGTGGAGGAAAAGTACACCATGTACCTCTGAACTGTAGAGGAGAAGAAGAACAAAGTAGCAAAACCGGAGGAGCCAGGCATGGAGGGAGGTGGCAGAGACAGTGGTAGTTTTTCTCCTGTTTGGAGAGTTTATATCCAGTTTACTTCGGGCTTTTTTGCTTCGTATGTCGGGGGCGGGAGATTCATGTGATTGGTTGTTGGTGCCTTGCTCGCAAAAATCCCCAAGCTTCAGATACGCCCACCTCCAAGATTTTTTTAACGCTGCTGTGTGGACGGGCCGTAAGACCCTCTTCTTTCGGCAGGCCTTCCAATAAACTTTGAGCATGGTACACCTGGAGTATTGCCATTTTTATCGCTATCTCCGACTTTTATTTTATTTATTTATTTTTATTTTATTTTATATTTAATTTTTATTTAATTTTGTTTTAATTTTGTTTACATTTTTAATTTGTATTATTATTATTATTCGTTTAATGTCTCAAATTGTATCAGTGTCCTTTGCTGTGAAGCGCTTCGAGATTTGTCTTGGCAGATGACAAGCGCTATATAAATTAAATTAATTATTAATTTATTTATTATTAAGTATCTCAAAATTGTACCCAAGTATAGTACTTGAGTTTATGAACTTACTTTACACCACTGGCTATAAAGATAGAAAGACTAAGCCTTGCACAGAGGCATGAAAATACATTTTCAAAATGCTCAACAGTGCTGCCAAAATTATAAACTGACTGCTACACAATTAAAATAAATGCTTTTATACATTTCTATTAGATGTGACTATTTGGCGTTTCTGTTATTAACTGCTTTAGTTGTTCTGACTGCTAAAATCCTCTGTTATTCCTCTATAGTGTTTGAAAGTGTTTCTCACCTTCTGCGCCATCTTGTGCATCTCCTTGTTTCCATTCCTCACTTTGAGCCTCAGCTCGGAGACGCTGAGCTTCAGCTGAGTGTTGCTGTGACCGACCTTAACCAGCTCCTTCTGAAGCTGAAACACAAGAAACATCTCATCACTGAAACCATGCAGGCAGAGAGAAACAGATTCTCTGAGACTCACAGTGTCTTTGTTACCCACTACCAGAGATGGCAAAAGTACACACATCCTTTACTCAAGTAGAAGTACAGATACTCGTGTTTAAAATACTCTGGTAAAAGTAGAAGTACTGACTAAACTTCTTAAAGTAAAAGTAAAGAAGTATGGGCTTTGAAATGTACTTCAGTAAAAAGTACCCATAACTACCATCTGTTTTAAAGAGTACCTGACCTCCCTTTATATTAATAGAACAATAATGTCATTGTTAGCTAATGAATGTTTCCATGCTGAACAACGGCAACATGACAACATTTTCATTGGTCCCTCTTCTTTAGAGAAGACCAGGAAATGATGGATACACGGATCGTGTTCAAATCAATAGGCACGCAATGACTCTAAATAATAATGATCACGCCACTAAACACACATTCAAACTAAAGGAACCAGCCTGTTTGGAAAATGTAAGAAGTAGAAAGTACAGGTATTTGTGTTCAAAATGTGAGAAGTAGAAAGTACAGGTATTTGTGTTCAAAATGTGAGAAGTAGAAAGTACAGGTATTTGTGTTCAAAATGTAAGAAGTAGAAAGTACAGGTATTTGGGTTAAAAATGTGAGAAGTAGAAAGTACAGGTATTTGTGTTCAAAATGTAAGAAGTAGAAAGTACAGGTATTTGGGTTAAAAATGTCAGAAGTAGAAAGTACAGGTATTTGGGTTCAAAATGTAAGAAGTAGAAAGTTCAGGTATTTGTGTTCAACATGTAAGAAGTAGAAAGTACAGGTATTTGTGTTCAACATAAAAGTAAAAAGTTGAGTAAAGTACTGATACCAGAAAAATGTACTTAAGTACAGTAACAAAGTATTTGTACTCCACTACTTCCCACCTCTGTTTACTACAAGTTACTTTAAAGGTCACATAGCTCATGCTATTTTTAGGCAATAGTCTCAGATGTATAAAAATATATAAAAAACATGTCTATGAAGTGTTTTGCTCAAAATACCAAACCGATCACCCATTCTAGCCATGCCTCATATCCCTCTATTTCACTTCCTGTTTCAAAAGTGCTGATTTGGGTATAAAGCTTTAACAAATAAAAATAAATTGATACAAAATAAAAAAGGAGGGGTCTGAGCTCATGCGGGACCCGGCAGCTACTGTCTAAACTAAATGCTGCCGTGATGAAACGCCATATCATGGATTATCAAGGATTATTTCTGAAACAGTATGGAGCTCAAAGGCTTTCTCTCTTGCCGGTTATACCACAAGGTGAGTTCCTTTTTATTTCCTGCTTCTTCACACACATGCTCTCCAGTACAGGTTAGCTCTGAGTGTTAGCGATGCTAATGTAAACACCGACCATATTACGTCCAAAACAGTCGGGCATTGTTTCTGATAGCAACGTTTCTCATAGGGCCGTGGGTGTAAAGCTAGCCTACATTTCCGATATGACGTTATATCGGACGCAAATCTGGATCAGCTCCGTTGTAGCCCCGTTTTTAGAGATTTGGGTATGGAGGAAAAGAGAGGGTTTTATTTTCTGACGCTGCGTGAGTTCCCCGACACACCGGGGACACATATTTATGTCTAAAAGACATCAAAAAGTGCATTTAGCATGATAGGAGACCTTTAACTTTAAGCTCCTGGTCACTAACGTTTGGACAATGACTGTTTTAGTTTTTAGAAAACGTTCTCCTGTCCTGTTGGGGGGAAGGAGTTTTAGGGGAGGACTCACTCACTTAAAATGAAAAATTGCTTATATTCTCATTATCTACATACAGACATTGTCAATACAGAGGTTTGTATCGTTTAAGGCAAATTAGATTTAGGACTTGTTTTTAAATCAATATTCTGCGCACACTCGCTATCCGGGTTTTTAGCATTTATCAAATACATTTTTTTTTAAAAGGAATTACTCAGTATTTTGAGCTGCTACTTTAGATTAAAAATATTAATTTCATTTAACATGTATTCAAGACAAATTATGACCAATTAAGGTAATATTCTCCCCACTGACCAAAAACCTTACATTTTGCATTAATTGGAAGCCTTTAGTCTAATTCCTTTACTTTTTTCAGGGTCTTATGTTTATACTTTCTTTGTGATTCATACAGTAAATCTTTTTGTTTGTCTATTTATGTATTTCTGCCAGTCTCTCTAACGGTACGTCCACACGGCAGCATGTGTTGAAGCTTGCCGGTGGGCGTATCTGGCTCGCGACCAACAATCAATCACATTAATCTCCCGCCCCGGACATTGTAAAAAATTGTATTTATTTGTATATCAAAACCAATGCTGGATTTGAATGTTAAGTCTAAAGCCACCTTGTTCTGGCTAGTCTCGTATCCAGAGACGGTCCTCTCCAGATCCTTGTTGTTGCTCTCCAGCGAGCGGATCTCATCCAGAAGCCTCTGCCGATCCTGCTTCGGGTCTTTGATCTCATCGATCTGTCTCTGCAGACACAGTCACACAATCACATGTTATTTGCGTCAAATGTTTGACTTTCATTGTCAACTATGTTGCACCTCATTTTTTCAAATTTAAAATATCTAAAATAGTGCTTCTGATATCCTTTATAGTATAATGTATAATAACACAGGTTGGAGTTTTACATGACATCTCTTAAAACTATCAAATGACCTGTATGGTAGTTTTATAATACAAAATATCCCTAAACTTAATGACAGTGCTGAACATATCACATGAAAAAACAAAACTTTAATACAATTATTTTTTAAACTTTAAAAAATCTTTGGATATATGGTAGAATGGACTCAAGAGCCTTTCAAATTTGATTTTACTTGAAGTGCAGGACTTAATCAAATGATTGTAATGACATCAAGTTTGTCCGTAACATAGTTGACAAACTGAGTAGTGAAAACATCCTTTCCCTTAAAATAAAATAAAATAAAAAAATGTTTAAGCTTTGCAACCAGTGGATATGTTACACTGAGGAATATACTAACTTGAACCACTGATTGTTCTATTGAGAAAGAACACTTTCTTTGTACTGTTTTGTTGATGTGAAATGCACCCTAAATTATAGAATCACTCACACAGTAATAACAGTAAACGGGCGTTACCTTGTGAACAGAGATAAGATCGCTCTTAGCCTCGTGTTTGGCCTCCTTTCCGGTCAACATGTTGTCAGTCATTTTTGTAGCGTTTACCGTTTAGTTCCGAGAAAATACAGAAAATGCAGTAACGCTTTTTCAAATGATACAAAATTCGCGCCTGACAACCAGTGTTGCCAACTCCACGAGAAGGGTCTAGCTGCGGCCGCGGCCAGTACACGACACTACACGACATCCCGGAGAATGAATCAAAGTCATTATAAAACCCTGACCAAGCAGCAACATGTTTGATATTCATGTTCTCAGGATGAAGTGTAATAAGTGGTGATCCCTCTCTGTGACTTTACGTCAGTTTAAAGGGGCCCTATTATGCTTTTTGGGGATTTGGGTTTTATAAACTGCTTTTCTATGGGCATAGATATGTCTCATAATTATTTGTGTGAACAGAAAAATAATTTGTGTGTAAATATGTGATTTGTAAATGTAAAACACCATCCACAAATGCATTTAAAAGATTTGCAAACTCACAAATAAATTTGCAAATGTAAAACGGATCTGCAAATAGACTAAATATTTTCACAAATAAAAAAAAGATCTGTGAATATCTCTTTAACATTGACAACTTTCAATCAGGCATTTGTGAATTATGCACCCCCATCATGAAATGCCCCCCTTGTCACGGGAACGCGCATTTCTAAATGACACGTTTACACCTTAAAACGATGTTTAAAACGAAAAGTAAACGTTCAGGGTTTTTATTAATGGTAATTTTCAGACTGTGAGTTGTTTAGTGGTAGCTCATATAGTCTTGATTCTTGTGGTTAAACTTTTCGCTCCGTATTTGATGGTAGTGGTGTCGAAATTCATTCGTCACTTCCTTTTCAGTTTTTTTTTTTTTTAATCTTTTTTTTTTCTTATTATTGTTACGTCCTGTCTGTATACACGTGCTTTAAAATGTATTGTTTCATTTTACATATTTGTCATATAATAATCAAAATATATGTTTACAAATGTTACATAGTCTTTGTCAGCATATTTTTGCCACGTTATGCACCCCTTGCTATCTTACATAATAAAAGTGTCACATTCATGAAACTTGCTCCATTCATTGGTACTAGTCCTACAACCATACCCTGAAGAATGCTTGAGGGTGGGATTAATACAAACATCTTTTTGGGTGGGGTGCATTCTATGACAGGCCTGGTTATCACAATATGCCCCCCCTTGCTATCTTACAAAATAAAAGTGTCACATTCATGAAACTTGCTCCATTCATTGGTACTAGTCCTACAACTATACCCTGAAAAATGCTTGAGGGTGGGAATAATAGAAACATCTTTTTGGGTGGGGTGCATTTTATGACAGGCCTGGTTATCACAATATGCCCCCCCTTGCTATCTTACAAAATAAAAGTGTCACATTCATGAAACTTGCTCCATTCATTGGTACTAGTCCTACAACAAGCTAGTTTTCGATTTTTTTATATAATCATTCTGACCTCAGAAAACTACAAAGCTTTCATTTCATGATGAGGGCGTAATGCGGAGGGATTTTTGCCGACGCTCATATTTTCAGTGTTTCCGTTTCCTCTGTAGTATTTATTGGGTTGTTATATTCAGATATGAATAATAGAAACTAGAACTAAATGTTCCGTGTGTGTCCTCACTGCTTGTTCACACACACAATAAGAATCCTTACCGGAGCTTCTGCTGTTTACACCGCTGCGTCCGTGCCGTGCGCTGTGACTCTCATGCGCTCTCTACATTTAATTCATATTTCAAATGTTCATTTTTAAAGTTTTATTTTATATTTGATGTGAAGCACAACGTACCATGCTGTTATAATAACGCTCTTTATCAGCCTTTGAAACTGAAACCATTTTGGAAAAAAAAAAAGAATAAAAAAAGAAAACCCTAACCCATACATACATATATATATTTATAATCATAATGTATCATAAACGTGCGACAATTAGTCGACTAATCGCCTTAATTGACGACTAGAAAAATCTTTAGTCGAGGGCAGCCCTACTGAGGAGTACCTGTCTCATAAACACAGGTAGTGTTGTGCACCGACAGAAATGCTAGAGAGATGCATGTTATTTACGTTTGCTTTCTCTCATTCCAGGCTTCCTGATTATTTTCACCTGTGTCTCCTGTACTCATCAATGTCAGCCCCGCCCCTGATTGGTCCCACCTGTGTCTAGTTACCCTGTGCTTATATTCCCCTGTCTCCCAAGTGTTCTTTGTCAGTTCGTATTGTCTCTTGCTATGGTCAGGTCTATGCTCTTTGTACTCTTGTAAAGTTTGATTCCTCACTACGTGAGCGCTTTCATTTTGTTCCTCTATTTTTGTCATCTCGGTTAGAGATTTGATAGTTACCTTTTTTGTTGTTCATTGCTGTATTTTGGAAAATAAAGTATCTTACTAATACTTTACCTCTGTCTCCCGGGTCGTGCAATTGGGTCCTACATCCTAAGTGTCTGAGTTCGTAACAGAACGAACTGACCATTATGGACCCAGCCGACCCAAGAACACTTCACGCAGCGCTGTCAGCACAGGGCGTGAAGATCTTTCATCACGAGGAACAGCTGGGCCTAGTCAACCAGGAAATACAAGAACTAAGAGGACGCCAGGCCGGGATTCAGGAAGCATTATCCACACAGATGCAACAACTGGCTGTCCAAATGAATCATTTTTTCACTCACCAACAGACTGCTCCTCCGGTGACGTCATCCACAACTGAGAGGTTGCCTGTCAATGCTCCAGCTGATTTCCCAAGTCAGGCTGTTTCTTCCCCTTTACGGCTGGCTCTTCCGGAGAGATTTTCCGGAGATTCTTCTAATTGCAGAGCCTTTTTGGTACAGTGCGATCTGCATTTTCAACACAACCCAGGAGCCTTTTCATCGGACCATGGTAAAGTGGCGTTTATTGTGTCTCATTTAACGGGAAGAGCTGCAGCCTGGGCTACTGCAGAATGGTCAAGAGAAACTGAACTATGTTACTCATTGACCGATTTCATAGAGACTATGAGTCGTATTTTTGACCACTCATCGCCTGCTACAGAGGCCAGCAGAAAACTTTTTCATATACGCCAGCTCAACCGCCAGGTGGTTGATTACGCCATCGAGTTTCGCACAGCAGCAGCGGACAGCGGATGGAATGTTCCGGCTCTTCGTGACGCCTTCATGACGGGACTTTCGGAACCGATAAAAGACCAGCTGGCTCCACTGGAGACACCCCGGGATCTGGAATCTCTCATCGCCGTGGCCATCCGGATCGATAACCGTCTTCGGGAAAGAGAGAGGGAGCGTCGACGCAACCGAGACGTTATTCCCAGCTCCCAGAATGCATCTTGGTGGGTCGCGCCGCCAGCCGAGGATGTCCAGCCCATGTTACCACACCGTCAGAGGATTACACTTCCGAATGACTCCGGGGAATCCATGCAGCTGGGAAGAACCAGGCTTTCTCTGGAGGAGAGGCAGCGCCGTCTACGGGAGGGTTGTTGTTTCTACTGCGGCCAGTCGGATCATCAACCGATTATTTTGGGGTTTCCATGGCTAAAGATCCACAATCCTCACATTGACTGGCGTTCAGGGAAAATTAAGGAATGGGGAGAGGATTGTATGGGCAGGTGTAAACTTTCACAACCTGTTAATGCACCAACAGACTCTCGTAAAATCATTATAGATCACCCCGACTATCCTGATCTACAGAAGGTACCTTCCTGTTACCATGATTTAAAGGAAGCCTTTAACAAATCCAAAGCCATGTCGCTACCTCCTCACCGAGATTTTGACTGTCCCATTGATCTCTTACCGGGAGCCCCCATTCCCAAGGGGAAACTTTATTCGATTTCGAGACCTGAGAGAGCAGCAATGGACGAATACATTTCCTCTTCACTCAAATCAGGAATTATCCGTCCTTCATCTTCTCCAGCCGGAGCGGGATTTTTCTTTGTGGGAAAGAAAGACGGGTCTCTGAGACCTTGCATAGACTACAGTCCACTAAATGACATTACGGTGAAGAACCGCTATCCTCTGCCACTCATGACATCTGCCTTTGAACTACTTCAAACTGCCAAAATATTCACCAAGTTAGATTTAAGAAATGCATATCACTTGGTTAGAATAAGAAAAGGGGATGAGTGGAAGACAGGATTCAACACTCAGAGTGGTCACTATGAGTATCTAGTAATGCCCTTTGGACTATGCAATGCACCGGCTGTGTTTCAAGCTCTTGTGAATGAGGTTTTACGGGAATTTTTGAATATTTCAGTGTTTGTGTATCTGGATGATATTCTGATTTTCTCCCCAGACACTAAGTCTCATGTTAACCATGTCCGTCAGGTTTTGCAGAAACTGCTAGAGAATCAGTTATATGTCAAGGCAGAGAAGTGTGAGTTCCACACAAAAGAGGTATCCTTCTTAGGATACATAATCTCACCTAATCATATGCAAATGGATCCGGCTAAAATCAGTGCAGTATCCCAGTGGCCTACACCAGACTCCAGGAAGAAGGTCCAACAGTTTCTAGGGTTTGCTAACTTCTATAGGAAGTTTATTAGGAATTTCAGTTCTGTTGCTGCCCCTCTACATGTTCTGACTTCTCCTAAGGTTCCTTTCAAGTGGACTCCCCAGGCGGACTTCGCTTTCCAACGTCTCAGAGAGAGATTCACATCAGCCCCCATACTCACCATTCCAGATCCCCAGCGCCAGTTTATGGTCGAGGTTGATGCTTCCAATGAGGGAATTGGAGGAGTACTGTCTCAACGTTCTGCAGAAGACAACAAGATGCATCCATGTGCTTACCTGTCGCGGAAACTGACAACGGCAGAGCGGAATTACGACGTGGGGAACAAGGAACTGTTAGCTGTAAAAGCTGCCCTCGAGGAATGGAGACACTGGTTAGAGGGTGCAGAGCAGCCGTTTTTAGTCTGGACAGATCACAAGAATCTGGAATATATAAGAAAGGCTAAGCGTCTCAACTCCCGTCAGGCCAGGTGGACACTATTCTTTAGTAGGTTCAATTTCACCCTCTCTTTTCGTCCCGGGTCTCAGAATCAAAAACCCGATGCTTTGTCTCGTCTTTATGATCCGGAACCACTTGCGGTAGAGCCCAAGACCATCCTTCCACTTAACCGTGTGATCGGAGCCTTTTCCTGGCAAGTGGAGTCGGACGTAAAAAAGGCGAATGTCAAGAATCCAGCACCTAGCGAGTGTCCCAACAATCTGCTGTTTGTTCCTGAGGCTCTTCACTCCAAGGTCATCCACTGGGCTCACTCATCTGTGCTTTCGTGCCATCCGGGGGTAACAAGGACAATGTTCAGGATACAACAACGTTTCTGGTGGCCAGCCATGAAGAAAGATGTGGCAGAGTACGTAGCGGCTTGTCCGGTGTGTGCGTGTAATAAGACCTCATCACAAGTCAAGATGGGCTTGCTCCAGCCCCTGCCGATTCCCCAACGTCCTTGGTCACACATTTCAATGGATTTTGTGACAGGATTTCCTTCATCCAGAGGCAAGACTACGGTCCTAACAGTGGTGGATCGATTTTCAAAGATGGCTCACTTCATCCCATTGACCAAGCTTCCCTCTGCCAAAGTCACCGCAGAGGTCATGATGAATCACATATTCAGGATCCATGGATTCCCTGATGACATTGTTTCCGACAGGGGTCCACAATTCATTTCCGTTTTCTGGAAGGAGTTTTGTCGACTCATAGGTGCCACCGTCAGCTTGTCATCAGGATATCATCCTCAGTCAAATGGACAGTCGGAGCGTCTGAACCAGGAACTAGAGACTACGCTACGTTGTCTCGTCTCCCGGAACCAGACTACCTGGAGTGACCACCTCACATGGGTCGAGTTTGCCCACAATACTCTTCCTACGGCAGCCACAGGTCTCTCTCCATTCCATTGTGTCAATGGTTTCCAGCCTCCATTTTTCCCTAACAACGAGGAAGAGGTGAGGGTTCCATCGGCTCATGCCATGATCAGACGTTGTCGACGAGTTTGGGCTGGTGCTCGCCAGGCTCTTCTCCGAAGTTCAGCTCGGATGAAGGCTGTTGCAGACGTCCATCGCAGGGTCGCTCCCTCCTACAGACCAGGCCAAAATGTTTGGCTTTCCACTAAGGACTTACCACTCCATGTCGCCTCAAAGAAACTGGCTCCGAGATTTGTGGGTCCTTTCCCGGTGTCCAGAGTCATCAACCCGGTGTCTGTACGCTTGCAACTCCCCAGAACTATGAGAGTACATCCGACGTTTCACGTCAGTAAAATCAAGCCGGTGTACGAGAGCACACTTGTTCCCGCCTCCAAGCCCCCTCCACCGCCCGAGTTCTTTGAAGGGGGTGAGGTTTACAAGGTCCGTAAGCTACTGGAGGTCCGTAATAGGGGGAGGGGGAAGCAATTCCTGGTAGACTGGAAGGGTTACGGTCCTGAGGCTAGAAGCTGGGTAGCTGTGTCATTTATCGTAGACAAGACGCTTATCCACGATTTTTACAATCAGCCTGGGCCATCAGGAGTTGGCCCTAGAGGGGGGGGGTACTGTTGTGCACCGACAGAAATGCTAGAGAGATGCATGTTATTTACGTTTGCTTTCTCTCATTCCAGGCTTCCTGATTATTTTCACCTGTGTCTCCTGTACTCATCAATGTCAGCCCCGCCCCGGATTGGTCCCACCTGTGTCTAGTTACCCTGTGCTTATATTCCCCTGTCTCCCAAGTGTTCTTTGTCAGTTCGTATTGTCTCTTGCTATGGTCAGGTCTATGCTCTTTGTACTCTTGTAAAGTTTGATTCCTCACTACGTGAGCGCTTTCATTTTGTTCCTCTATTTTTGTCATCTCGGTTAGAGATTTGATAGTTACCTTTTTTGTTGTTCATTGCTGTATTTTGGAAAATAAAGTATCTTACTAATACTTTACCTCTGTCTCCCGGGTCGTGCAATTGGGTCCTACATCCTAAGTGTCTGAGTTCGTAACAGGTAGTTAGTAAGAAAACATTTGAATGGAACTTTATCTGTGAGGCTGTTGCCATTAGCCGCGTTCACACCAAGTACTTTGCCGTACTTAGTGCCGGCACTCAGTGCCCCGGCACTAATTACCCCAGGGCACTTAGTACAGATCGCGTTCACACCGGAATAAGTTCCCTGAGGGAAGATTATGCAAATGAGCTGCTGACGTCACTTCGTCTTCTTCTGCTTTGGGTTTACTGGCAGGCCGCAAACCACTTCACGGTGTATACTGCCACCCGGAGTCCCCGGCCGGAAGTCCCCGGAGTTGGGGACTGGCTTCAGTAGAAGCTGCTGGGACTCCCAGCAGCTTCTACTGAAGCCTTCTGAGTAAATCGCCAGAACGCCGACACCTCCTCATCTCCACCGCTCCCATGTTTTATTTTGTGTTGCCATAAGTTAGTCTCTCTGCGTTTGTGCGCTGGGCGAATGCTAATGCTAATAATGCTAATGCGAGGATAATAAAATGGCGGCTCTACAAAACATTTCAGAGTTTTACGGGGCGTGGTTTGCAATTCGCCCAGCCAATCAGAACTGGGGCACTTTTTTCCCCCAGGAAAGTACCATCTCTCAGCAGGCACTAAACATGGGGGTAAAAGTTCCCGGCTTGAAGTACTCTTTTTGGTGTGAACGCGACATAAGGGGTACTAACAGAACTAAACGCGAAAAGTACGGGGAAAAGTACTCCGGTGTGAACGCGGCTATTGAATATTAGATTTTAGTTGAAATATATTTTTTAAGTCACAGTGTTCGTCACAGGTCACATTGTTATTTCATCTGTTTGTTTATGACAGTGAAGAAGGCTTGCATGTGATGTAATGAAACCTCCGGGATGATGAGCTGTGACAAACACCCACACTAACTAAATCCTCTGAGTTAAACCACTGTGTTCATATTGAAAGCGTATCAAGACTTTCTGTCCTCTTTGAACACGTGTCACTGTGCAGTTAGATGTGGGCAAGCCGATCAATAATCAATTAAAACCTGTGATTCGGCCCATCACAGCTACACTTCACATGATGCTCATGGGAACATTTTTGGACCTTGTGGGAAGTTTGTGAATGAAAATAGTTTGCATGAGGTGATCTCATTGTTTCTAATCTCAGCCTACCTTGAGTAAAGGATGCAGAGGACAAAGATGGCGAGCCCCACGATGCTCTGGGCATCCCACCACGGCAGGTAGGGGGACGTAAGGACGGGCTCCTCTGTGTCCGGGCCCAGGATCAGCACCGCCGTCTGGTTCTCCATCTCCAGAGGGGCCAGGGTGGGCACTGCTATCTGCTGGAAGAGGCTCAGCAGGCTGGGGTTACACTCTCGATCTGAGGGGGGGGGGGGGATTAAAGAAGCACGGGGGGTTTAAGTAGAAAGGGGGACAGTTATTGCTTGTTATTTTCAGACGTGTTGTTGCCTCTCATATGCCTTAAAAACACGTTCTTTGGAAAAACAGACATGAGACATGAGATCCTTGAAAGTAGCGTGAACATTTGACTTAGACCATATTAAATCAATAGTAATGCTTTGTGTGTGTGAATACTTTTGCACATTCTATGGAGGAATTAAACATGTTGCTCTGCTGCAGGCACAACATAAATCATGCTTTTTGAACAAAACCACAAAAGCATATCAAACGAAAGGTATAAGTCAAAGTCTTATGACGTAGAAAGAGGCTATTTCTTTCAAAAGAACACCAGAGACAGAAACACCATCCGGTTCCTTGGTTGTAGCGAATGGATTCCTATTGTTTCTGCTCATTCCTAACTGAATCAATGTTTACAGCAGTAATTCACGCATGCAGCAGACATCCTCACCAGGTTCATTAGTCATGGCGGACCAGGTGAGATACATGGTGTACAGGGTGATGATGGAGGACTGCAGGAGACCTGAACGGGTCTGCGACTCCTGAGGATACACACAGATCAAATAGGCAGACAATGAAACATAAATAACATGAAATACTCCATGATAACTGGGCCAACTTCATTCACTCTTATGTTGTTAGTTTAGTTATTTATTTTCTTTTTAAAGCAGCTGGAATTCCATTTGAAAATGAGGTTCAGATTGGATGCAGTAATTAAGGACATCTTTAGAAGTTGAATAGCAAGTCAGCTTAATTTGAACTACACCTTTATTTAGTTGTTGTGGTGGTGATATGCAGTGATTAACAGAAACATGTAAGTTGCCCCTGAAAGAACAACAATAACATAGAAACAAGTATTTAAATCAGACTAGAATACAATTGAATGTTTATGATATATGGTGGAGTTCAGAGTGCTCACCATGCTTGTGTGCAATTTCTCCTCTCAGGATGCTTTATACTCCTCATAGTAACTTGAGCTAATTCCTATCTTTTAACGTATACCGAAAATAACATATTACAACATTACACTTGTGTAATGCATTTTGAGATTTGTCATGTTCCGAATCATCTAACTAGGTTTTAGGTCACATATCTCTCCTTGTGTCAGATCATTGGCTGTGGCTCAGTGGTTAGTGTGCTGGACTTCGAATCAGGGGATAGCAAGTTCGAGTCCCACTGCAGTCAGCATGTCGTTGTGTCCCTGAGACACTTCACCCCAAATTGCTCCTGTGGGGATTGTCCACAGTACTGAGTATGTAAGTCGCTTTGGATAAAAGCGTCTAACAAGTGACATGTAATGTAAAAATCATTCTCTCCCAAATATAGTCACATTTAAGGATTCATGGAAAGGACTCATCTTTAGAGTAAGAAACGTACTGCTTGCCCTGTGCAGGATACAATGAATTAGCCTTAACTGAAACTATTAACTTGTTTCACATCAGTTACATTGATATATACAGGGGTGTCTTCTGTTCCTTTTTTATAAAACCAACAATCTGTCTGTGGTTTTGCTGATACTGAGGAGTAACTTGTTCTTAGAGCAACACTGCAAAGACTTTTGACCCTTTCTATATGAAGTCACTATTGTGTCCGGAAGATTATGGCGGTTTTGTCTGCAAATATGTAGTTCAAAACCCAAAGGGCTTTTTAATCTGTTCAACAAATGTCACCCGAACCCGACAGTGAACATTGAGCCCAGCTGGAGTTTCAGTTTCACACGTTAAAATGCAGACATCAAAACACACACAGCTGCGAGGTTAACAGTCACAACAGTGTTATCTTTTGTTGGGATATTTGTAAGTTGATGGAAATGGTGAGAATACACAGATGGTGTACACAAAGGAACGCACTTGGTGAAAAGTATCAGACCATAGTCATTTTCAAAATATAATGCCTGTATTTAATATACAGTCTGCTATATCTGCAGCTTCCCCTATCGTGGTTTTGTCTTAATTTGATGAGAGGAGGGGAGCTGAACTTTTATTTTGATTTACATAGTATGATGACTGTATCACTATTATTAGCCTGTACTGGACTGTGTTTACTATATGTACACAACATGATACACTACTTTACAGGTGTTCATGGAATTGTTTCCCCTCTAATTTTTTTAAACAATGTCACAGTTTTCTCATGTGAACGACACGGTCTTGTTACTGTACCTCAGTGGTTCTCAAAAAAAAAGTCGGGCCCCCCAAACACAAATAGTCACGTAATGGGCCAAGTTAACATTTCTTAAAATACATCAATATGAACGTGAGCATTCCTTTGCTAGAACAGTGATAACTAGAGAATGCAATTCCTGAAGAAATTGCTAGTGGGAATGCTTTATGCTGAAAAGCTGACGCTAAACTGCTATGCTGAAATGTAATGTGTAAGAAGAAAGTGAAGAATTCAGATTGAAATGATACATGAACACTGGGGGCTTGAATGTGTGATGAGTGAAGAAAAGAAAGTAAAAAGGCTTGGAAAAGCAGCAGAATATTTGAACTACAAACTTTTGAACTAACTTGATGGTGAATGATCTGTCGCCATGGCAACGGCATTTGATGACACCCCATAATACACTTAGATGCGTTGATGGCTGCATCGTTACCAAACCTGTGAAGTTTTGGGCCGTTTGGAACATTTTCACTGAAGTTATGAGAAAACCGTGTTTCATGGCGAGCATTGTGTTGCCATGGCAACAGCATTTGAAGAAACCGCATAATTGACGTAGAGCTGTTGAGGGCTGGACCGGTGATATACAAGTGAAGATTGGGGGACGATTGGACCATGTCCATTGGACTTACAGCGACATCGTGTTTCATGGCGAGTGGTCTGTCGCCATGGCAACGGCATTTGATGACACCCCATAATACGCTTAGATGCGTTGATGGCTGCATCGTTACCAAACCTGTGAAGTTTTGGGCCGTTTGAAACATTGTGTGTGTGAGAGAGAGAGAGTGTGAGAGTGTGTGAGAGTGAGAGTGAGTGTGAGAGTGTGGGTGTTTCTCAATCGCGAGTACGCTTGCTTGGTAGCACATGTCTGCCGAGCATCTTGCTTCAGAAGCGAGTCAAGAATACTTCCTGGCATTCGGAAAACAAAGAGTGGAACAGGCTAGCAAGTGTGCAGGTGTGCGTCATATGAGAGGCCCCGCCTTACATCTTCCGCCACAGATTTGGGGAAATTGGCCGTGCGCAAAGCATTGTGGGGATTTTAAGACCGCCGAGTCTACATTGTTTGCATTGTTCTGAATGAGAGATAAAGCTCTTACATGTGAACGTTTTGTGGAAGAACCATAACAGATATCTGTGAAATTTCAAAACGTGAAGCATGTCAAGGAAGTTGAGTATCTGAAGTGTAATTTTTGTGTACTTTCGGGTTAATAATGTGGCCTTTTTGGCAGTTTAACTAAAGGTATGCGGCTGCTGCTGTGAGGAAATATCAGCCTGAAATTACAATGGGTTTTAATGGAGACATGTTGAACGTTTTTGTCACTTCATGCCCTCAAGAGGCATTTTGTTTAATTATTTTGCTTAATTATTTGTCATTTTTCAAGCTACGAGATGTTTTCCTACGTTTGTCATGAAAAATGATGTCTCAGGAATGTAGGGTTTGGGAATTATGGCAGTTTAAAAAAAAATATATGAAGGCAAATTTCAAGATTTCCTACCCTCTAGCTGTGACATCACGCACTCTAGTTAATGTTAAAATCTGAAGAAAGCCTCTTTACCAAGGTCTGAACAATGTTTAATATCTCTAAAAGTAAAAATCAGATTTAAAAGTTGTGTTACACGAATAATGTCAGAAAGATGTGTAACATTTTAAAGTTGGAATGAGGTTTCTGAGTGAAAGTATGAATGAACAGTTCAGCAGTTGAAGTCGCATGAAGATTGTTCAAGTCTGAAGATTTTCTCCATTGACTTCAATGGTTAAAAATGTGATGAATTATGGGATGTATCTCTGGAATTATGAAAGTTATGAATGATAAAAGTAATAGCTATCGATTCCCGACCGAGCTGAACGTTTTGATGTTTGAACGGAGTTTCTGCGATGTTGAATGCAGGAGAAGAAGAGGTGCAAAGTTCCGGCGGAATAATAATAATTTTGATAATAATAGAAGAACATATAGTTGGAATGCTGTATCAGCATTCCCACTAAATAAAACAATGCTCCCCCGGGAAGATTTTTTTTTAAATATTGAAGTCAAAAGCATCAATCTGGTGCACTTTGAGAGCAACATGAAGAGATCTATGGATACATCTCTCAACACCCATTTGAAACAGAACTGTAAGCAGATTTACTATTTCTTTATGGATATTTTACAAATCACTCACTTTTAAACTTTATTATTTTTTTACTGTCATATAGTATTTCAAACCTGTTTTTCATTTATTCTCTTATTTTTGTATAACTATAATGATCATATAAACGTGTGCCTCGGAAATAATTGTTTACATTAATCGTGACCAAAACGTTTGAGACCCGGCCACTAACTCGCTAGCACCAGAAGCTAACAACGATCTCCGGTACCGGTGCCCTCTCTCTCTCTCTCGCTCGTGCACGCACACAAAATGGCTCGTGCCACACACACACAGAGCCGAGCTGAAACACAGAGACCCAGACGTACTTGTACTGTATCATATTATTTTCGAATCAATACTTTTTCAAATTATGATTTTTTATTTTTCAAAACCATTTTTCCTCCTGGTCTCTCGCGCCCCCCCCCTGTCATGCCTCTGCGCCCCCCACTTTGAGAAACACTGCTGTACCTGAACTTTAGGCAGCACAGAGAGGAAGGAGGCCACCAGGCAGAACAACATGTTGAAGCTGATGAAGAACTTGTTGATGGAGCATCCATCAGGCTTTGTGTAGAAGATGAAGAACAGCACCACAGCAGTAAAGGACCTGATGTAGTTGATGAGAGTGACCACCAGCAACGCTAAAAACACAAGGTAGAAAAGGTTCATATTTGATAGCAGACCACTGCTAAGGATTAAGGAATCTTTGCAGTCATATCAACCAGCAAAAAGAAGTCCGGTCAATTTAACGTCAGCTAAAAAATACAAATTAGCTTTCCTCCAACAGAAAACACCATGGAATACCTTTTGAACATTTATTTTAATTGTGGATAGCACAAATGAATAGAAAATAAAAGAGAATAAGATCAAGAAAAACAGTGTAAGAGAAGAAAAGAGGTTGAAGAGAGACAGGAAGTAAACACTAAAGGGAACAGCAGAAGAAGAGAGACGATGGCTGCAGTCGAATTGTCCAAAAATCAGCTCCTATCGTCTATTCCTATCGTCTATCCCTTGACCTCTGTGTGAAACGTCACAGGGTTAAGGGATAGTGGATAGGAGAATTTAAAAGGACTTAGGAGAAGAGACTGCGGTGCTTTGAGAATCCGACTGCACTTTCACTATCCGACGTGTTTATGATGCGCCAGCGGACGTCATCAATGTGCGTCTGCTGCTGTGGGGAAACTACAGTTTTCTATACAGCGGACTATAACATGGATGTATAATAAGAACGATGGACTACTGTAAACTCATCTAGAGACTCTGCACCGTGCTCTGATGCTGTTGTTTTATGCTTTATGAACGTGGACAACAGAGAAACATATTCTTCATGACCAGTTGGAATTGAAATAAAAAAGGAAAGTGAAACTTATGCTTGTCACCCTCTCCCTCCGGTCCACTCGTATTAATCCACATGAATCCCAATACGTATGATTGTATGAAATGATCTTAAAATCAATACAAATGTATTTATTATAGGGCTGTCAAGTTAACGCGTTAATAACGCGTTAACCCACATTTTTTTTAACGCCACTAATTATTTTAACGTGCGATTAACGCATGTGTATTTGTCCTCGGCCCGCCCCGTAGTTTCAGAGCCCAAAGGCTTGACGTTGTTGTTGTTGTTAGTTGGATGGTGGGAGATTCTAGCGAGAGATATGGATACAAAAAAAGGTGTTTTAAACAGCAAGCCAAGCACACAGCTGATGCTGATGCCGACAGCCCCGCTCCTGCCGCTCGCTTGCGCTTCTAAGTTTGCCGGGGAGACGCCTGGACAACAACAGCGATAGCTAAATGGGTGGCTACAGCTTAACATTGTGGAGGACGAGGGGCTGCGTTAGATCATTCGGATCGCATCCAACGTGTCGACTGCACATCACAGCGCATTATTGTGACCCACAGTGGGAACTTCAGTCTCATGCTTTGACTGTTATGAAGACAGAGGAGCGGCATTTCGCCGACAACTGTAAACAGGCTTGTCTGTTTGAGCAACTGGCTCAGTGCAAAGAAGTACACAGGGTTGGGAGAGAGTGTAAGAGAGAGAGAGAGGTTCCAGGTGGTTGTGTTGAGAATATTCAGGAGAATATTTGTCATTGTTCCAATGATAATAAACAAACATTTGCATAATGCATATTTGTCCACTCATATGTTGATAAGAGTATTAAAAACTTGAAAAATACAGATACAAAATGTGCGATTAATCGCGATTAACTATGGACATCATGCGATTAATCGCGATTAAATATTTTAATCGACTGACAGCCCTAATCTATTGTAAACGTTTGTCCTTAACATCTATCACTGTGTATATCACCATTAAAGATGTTTTTAAAAGTTTCAGAAACCCCACACAGCTCAGTAAAGACTGTGAAATGTTGACTTATTTGATCATTTTAGTAAAAAAGTAACGTTCATATTTCTCCTTTTGATTAATATAGTGATGAACGTTCAAAACAAAGCACTTTTGCAAGTTACGGTATAAGTTGTAAAATGCTTAATAAGTACCGTAACTTTCATGATACGCATTTCTCGGTCGTAATTGGTTGTTTCTGGGAACGGCCGAATGTTGTGTCACGGTAAATGTTGCGACAGACTTGGACAGTCACAGAAGAAAATGCAGTAGAACAGACTATTTCTTTCTTAGCGAAAGTAATATAATATTTTTTAAATCAATGAAATCCTGCTTAAATCAATATATTGTGTCAAATATTGATTTAAACAGTAAGTTGTCATGTAATAAGCGGGTTCACACATTATCCCATAGTCTGCATGTTATTACTTACAAATGTATCTTATTGTTGAATTCCAAAGTATTAACAAAACACAAGCTCAAACATACTTGCAAGTAGTATGCAGTGTATCATTTTGTACACACTGTTGAGTCACTGACCTGCGTACCAGCACCTGGAACTGCCGGTCTCCATCTTCTCCACCCATGACTCGTTCCATGAGTGGGCGAAGTCCACCAGCAGCACCAGCTGGATCAGGATGAAGCAAAAAGCCCCCCCAGAGCCCACCACAAACCACGCTGCAACCACAGACACACAGCTCATTCAGTAACTCCCTTGGTATTACAACAACTCTGTATATTGGAAGTCATACTAAATGTAGAATAGGAAGTTCTTACTGTAGGTGAAAGGCCCATCTGGAATATAAAAGGCGCCAACTGTAACTGCCACCAGGGCAGCAAACTTAAAGAACCAGAATCTGAGAAAAACAACAGCTGATCATAGAGTAGGATGTACATACACATACATTTAGAGTTTGAAAGCATTTCTAAACAGTGATCCTTAAGGTCAAAGCTAATTTCCCCAGAGTTTCTTCTGATTCAAACACTAACACACTGCAAGGTTTAATATGGGACAAACAATCAGATCTGCTCAGATGTCATAACTGTTCACATGACTGTTTATTAGACAAGCGTATCCCATACAGGGACAAGAACAGGCGACATCCACAAGAAAGACCTTTCAGCCTTATGACCAGCTGCAACGTCTGTGTGTGTGTGTGTGTGTGTGTGTGTGTGTGTGTGTGTGTGTGTGTGTGTGTGTGTGTGTGTGTGTGTTTATGTGTGTGCGTGCGTGTGTGTGTGTGTGTGTGTGTGTGTGTGTGTGTGTGTGTTTATGTGTGTGCGTGCGTGTGTGTGTGTGTGTGTGAATATGGAAACTCCTGGAGACACGCCTCTGTCTCTCTTTATCTCTCTGTCTATCTATTTCTATCTTGTTGTGATACAAATATTCAATTGTCCTTTTGAGACGCCTAGAATAAGGCAATCCTTTGAAGAATCTATGTAAAAATAGCGATAAACACAATTCATAAAAAAAATAAAAATAATTAAGGACGTTTTAAATAAGCAACTCACAGTTTCAAGGTATTGAAATGAAGTTCTTAATAAGGTGCGACATGGGAAAACAAACAAAAATTAAGTGCAGATAATTAAATAAGAACTTGGCAGTGTTGTTTGTTTGTGTTTGCAAAAAAAGCTCAAGGAAATACCTGGAAGCTTTTTGGGTTAGGGTTATCTTTTTCATATATGCCCACATTATCCTTTTTGTTACAGGAATTGTCTGTGTTGCAATTTTGTTACATGGTTTATCTTGTAACATCTCCAGTGAGAATATGGAGGTTGAGTTGTTTTTTTTAAAGCGTGCTCAGGTACATGAAGGGGAGTCAGAAACAGTGTTTGTGATAGATTGCATGAGCTGCTGCTGTTACTGCGGGGCTTACCCGTTGTGGATGGCAGCACGGGGGTCTCTGCTGTTCTTGATGTTAATCATCAGGATGGAAAACCCCAGGAACCACATGCTCATGCCGAAGCAGATGCGGTACACTGCCTTGTAGCCCACGAACATCTCACAGTTGACATCGGCCTGCATGCCAGGGATAGAGGAGCCGGCCCCGTCTTCACAGAAGCCAGGGATCTACAGCACACACAGGAAGGGTTCAAAAGAGCAGGAGCTGAAGTCCATTTCATGTTCGGAAACACCGGGCCAGTTACCGAGTAACCCTAACCCTAAGTATACGATTTAAAAGAACGTCTGTGCCTTGTGATCTTGTTCAGTGACACTTTTAGTAGCCAACTCATCGGTTTTTGTTACGTTTAAACCGTAGGACTTTTAAGAGTTATTATTGATAGTTTTGGCGCGATTTAGACACGGTCTGCACAATGTTGTTGGTGAAAATAACTGCCAGAGAACAAATCAGATGCTTCGCTGTCCATTCTTACACATCTGCCACATCATCTATCTACAACAGAGAGTCAGCTCTTAAGTAATAACAAGTAGGCAGCTCCAGCTGAATTAAACCTTTGTATCCAGCGTCATGAGATGATTAAACATCTGTGTAATGTCAGTGAACTTCATCACACAAAGACAATCATCGCACGTTATGATTGTAATTGAAACCTCTGGAACAAGGACTCGGAACAGAATGAGAACACAGGAGAGCTGGAACTGTTCTGTTCGACACAGCAATAGAGCATTACCGTGAATAAACGTGTTATATATCTATACATTGACTGTATCTCCACAGTTAACTCATACCCTTTTCAGCTGCTGATCGACCCCCGGGGACAGCATGATGCAGGCCACGATGGTCCCCAGCAGCAGGATGAAGGCGTAGATGATCCGGGTCACCGTGGAGTTCCTGGTGCTGGGACAGCAGCTGCACAGCAGACAGGTGGCGCTGCTGCACAGGCACGGCAGCTGGGGACACACACAATCACTTCATCATCTGCATGTTAAAGCAGGAGCACCAAACACAGGAGACACATTTAGGTGAAAACAAATCTGCAGAAACATATAAATGCAGATGCTTTCACTCCCTTTTTACTCCAAGCGCTTTCATTACTCACACCTCAGTCAATCAATCAATCAATGTTTATTTATATAGCCCAATATCACAAATGTTACATTTGCCTCAGTGGACTTCACAGTTTGTACAGAATATCAGTATGACAATACGACACCCTCTGTCCTTAGACCCTCACATCGTACAAGGAAACACTTCCAGAGAAACCCCACAGCTTAAAGGGGAACATGGGAGAAACCTCAGGGAGAGCAACAGAGGAGGGATCCCTCTCCCAGGACGGACACACGTGCAATAGATGCCGTGTGTAAATCGAAGAGATAATACATTTCACAGTATAGGTAGACCAAATGTTTGGAAATGTATGTGTCTATAATAAGAAGATGAATCCACGAGGATGTCAACAATCCTGTGGGAGCCATCAGGGAAGTAGTATGATGAGAGTCAGGCAGGACCACAGAGACAGGTTCAGCCATGACTCAGGATCCAGGGCTCGCGATCCAGGACTCAGGATGCAGGACTCAGGATGTAGGACTCAGGATCCAGGACTCAGGATACAGGATCCAGGACTCAGGACCACAGCAACAGGCACAGCCACGACTCAGGATCCCGGCGTAGATAGACACCAAAAAGAAATTTAGGGGAAGCTGGGTTATTCGGAACATGAGAGTAACGGGCCGTCTCCACGGCAGCGTTAAAAAAATCTTGGAGGTGGGCGTATCTGAAGCTTGGGGATTTTTTTGCGATCAACCAATCACATGAATCTCCCGCCCGCGACATACGAAGCCAAAAAGCCCGAAGTAAACTGGATATAAACTCCCCAAACAGGCGAAAACCTACCACTGTCTCTGCCACCTCCCTCCATGCCTGGCTCCTCTGGTTTATATCCCGGTAGGTCTGGTCATAAAGCACCGGGTGATTGATTCGCTACCGCTAATTTCTCCTCCATTTTTTGGAATATGAGGAAATGATCTGCGGTATGTCTCTCCCAGCATACACGCCGTTTGATTGGCTAGAGCTTGAACTGTCAGATTTGCGTACACGGGATTTGATTGGCTGACGCTTCCTCCTCAGCTTCAAAAGTTGAACATTGTTCAACTTTGGATCTTGAAAATCCTGAGAATCTCCGCTCGCCTGCCCACAATGCATTTCGGCGAAAGCGAAAAAAAGTGACGTCACCCCATTCAAAGTGAATGGGCAGAAGCGTTTCAAGATTTTTTAACGCTGCCGTGGAGACGGCCCGTAAGGTACAGACAGAGAGAAGGAAGAAGTAAGGTTTCCCCGACAGTCTCTAAGCCATTACCTCTCTCACTGAATTCACATGAACTGGTACTAAGTCTTTACAGGCCTTCTACTTTAACTGATACTTCAAGCTCTGTCTATCACCTAAACACAACTGGTGTCATCTCCTTTTCTAAAATGCTAATAGCCGCGTTCACACCGCAGTACTTTTCCCACTTTAGTTCCGATATAGTTCCGAAATGTCGCGTTCACACCAAAAAGAGCCGGAACTAAAATTAGTTAATCAGAACCTTTTTTACCCCCTTTTCAGTCCCTGCCAGAGAGCAGGTACTTTGGTGGGAGAAAAAGGTTGCTATGTCTGATTGGCTGGGCGGAATGCAAACCACGGCCCGTAAAACTCCCAAAAAGTTTTGTGAAGCCGCCATTTTATTATCCTCGCATTAGCATTATTAGCATTAGCATTAGCCCAGCGCACAAACGCAGAGAGACTAACTTATGGCAACACAAAAGAAAACATGGGAGCGGTGGAGTTCTGGCGATTTACTCGGAAGGCCCTAACTCCGGGGACTTCCGGCCGGGGACTTTGGGTGGCAGTTTACACCGTGAAGTTGTTTGCGGCCTGCCAGTCAACCCAAAGCAGAAGAAGAAGAAGTGACGTCAGCGGCTTCATTTGCCTAATCCTTCCCCAGGGACTTATTCCGGTGTGAACGCGATCTGAACTTAGTTCATGAGAACTAAAGAGTTCTCATGAACTAAGTTCTGATGAACCTTTGTGGGAAAAGTACTGCGGTGTGAATGCGCCTATTGCTATTAATACTAACAATGTAGCGTTTTCTAGTTGTGAAACACAGTTTTGGTGGCGTCCATTCTTGGCAATGTAAAATATTTTACAAAAAAAAACTGTCATTGTCCTGGAAAAAATGTGAGTAGATTCAGAGCATGACAAACGTTCCCATGTATTTCTCTTTATTAGCAGGAAGCTGAGGATAATGGATATGTTCTGCTTGTTAGGATGGTGCATGGGACTCAACATGAGACACTGCTGAACTATCATGTGAAGGTCATCTGCACGGCAGTCCCCTCTGAATACCCTGGACTAACGGCTTCAATTATCTGCTATTTAGCCTTTTCCCTTTTCAACCATTGAACATGTTCTACCAACAGGACATGTTTAGTTTGCAGAGCTTCTTTAATCTTGGATTACAACGCAGTTTTAGCAGAATATTAAGAAGCTAATAGGGCACAGAAAAGATAATCTGTATTTGGAAGAAGAACGGTTAAGACTTCCATGCATGTCCACTGAAGTGAGCATCAGTATTTATGTTCTTGATTGTTTTACTGCCATTAAATACAGAAACATTGAAATATTGCTTCTACAATTTTAATTGCAGTTTAAGATGACAGTAACATGCTATAGAAATATTTAACCGTTATAGTTAATAACTAAGACAACAGATTTGTTGCGGAACAATCAGTGTTTTCTATGGTCATGTGGATCACAATAATACAACAAAATAAGAAAAAAGCTGTGTATGTATGTTCTAGTATAAAAACGTTGTATACAGTATTCATATTAATATCCAGAAATGTGTGTTTGGATGAAAAATATCTACGCACAGGGCAGTTGAGAACATAAGCTAATGTTTGATTAACTGTAATAAAGAAAGGAATATCATTTTAAGAAATCTAACTTTTTACAAAAAATAAACTCAGTGTCCATGGCAACGCTCTGCAAGTGTATCTGTGTGTTCAATCAGTCACATCACAGTAAACCTGCTTTATTATCTCATCCTTGATGGTTCCTAATTTCAAACAAATCAAGTAAAGAGTCCAAAACCAACAGTGTCAGTTCATCATGCAGTACTGGTTCTACTGAAGATGTTAATCTTTAAAAACTCCACCATAATAATGTTTCATTTTCAAAAAATAAATAATTTGTTGTTGTTGTATTTATTATTTAACATTACTCGAACACGAATAATTAGTGCATGTTTGGGCCCATTTTTAGCAGTGGACTGTTGCGCATTACCTGCTCTAGTGACAAATTCCAGCAGGTCAACATGTTTTGTGGGATTAATTTAAAGGGGACCTATCATGCAAAATGCACTTTTGTACGTCTTTTATACATGAATATGTGTCCCCGGTGTTCCAGGGAACTCACCAAGTGTCAGAAAATACAACCCTCTCTATTTTCCTCCATACCCAAATCTCTAAAAAAGGGGCTGCAACGGATCTGATAAAAACTGATCCAGATTTGAACACTGTCCTGACGTTAGGAGACAGTGTAGTACATATGCAAGGCCTGTAGATGGTGCTGTTCTCACATAATCTGCCCTTGCAAAAACAGAGCTAAAAAATGTCAAATTGAGCAAAATGAGGCATGGCTAAAATGCATGATCTGTTTGGTATTTTGAAAAAAAAGAAGTATAAATATGCCTTGTATAGGTATGGTCCTATACTATATTATTCAAATATAGCATGATAGGTCCACTTTAAAGTAAACGACAGTGGCACCTTTGAACAACAATGAGACGACTCTAAATGCTATAACTTGTTGTAAAGCTGCTTACACTAGAGTGATTGTACTCTCTATATCAATAAAATGGTGATTAATACAATGTTATGCCAAACTTTCGTGGCCCAAAGTGACCCAGGTGGGTAAAAAATCCTTCTTATCCTGGAAATGGTCCTTGAGCTATAGAGAACTGTGAGTTGTAAACCAGATGGGTTTGAGAGTTAGACTTTTTACAGAGGATTAATAATTTCATATTCTCCATATTTTTTCCTGAACTTAAAGAAAGGCTCGGTTCATTTGCATGGACAAACAGCCTGTGTATTAATGTACAACAAAGGCTTATCCACAGTGCTTTACATGTGTCTCTCTCCTACACCAACAGCAGAGCGGTGTGTAGAGATAAGGAGGCCGGAAGATAGTCAACAACTTAATACGCCTGCTAGACAAAGTCAGCTTAGCTCCAGACAGTAGGCCATGATAACATGCCACATACCACAGGTGTGTTTATCAGAGTACTACCCTCTGAAACATGGTGTCTAGTTTTCTTGAGATAGTCCTCTAATTAAAAGGAAATGTTTCTATTTGTTTATCAAGTAAAAATCCTAAATATTTGCTGACCAGTTTTTTAATCACCATTAGTCCAATATATAGCATTTCATATTTGTTCCCCCACAAACACAGCTAAAAGATAACTGAGGTTATTATGTGTGTGCTATGTGGCACTTTAAGCCTTTCATCCATACAACAGACGAGCTTCTCGTATTGTTCCTAACCATAACCACTCATTTCCATGCTCTCTTCCCGCCTTATGCATGCTGTCATTGTCTGCACTCATAATATGGCGCTCGTGTTGGTGGTACAAAGCAGAGTTAATCCAATTAAGCACGTGAGAGCAGATGACCGGGTTCCGTCTAACCCTGCGCTCTCTTACTGTCCCTGTGTTAGGAAACATGATTTTAGACTCTTCTGAACAACATTTAGCATCTTATCTTAGCTACAGGCTGCACTATGTTCTTGTGACTGTGAGTCACCAGTAATAGTTACGTCTGTCTCTTAATGTCAAATTACATTTCGGCCTATACAATCATAAGGTTCAAACGTACCATATAAAAATGCTAATGAATCAGCTGAATGTGTTTTATATCTTATATCTGCCTAAATGTGAGGCAAAGAAAGGCAGTTAACACGCTAGGTTATTTGAATGGAGTTCGGACTCCGTCCCCACCCCAGCAACAAGCTGTCGGACACACCTGTGGGAACGGAATGAAACGATTCAACGATTCAATAACATATCATATTTAGCAGGAGAAAGTAGTGCCTTGTGGAGAAGCCATCAATAAACCCCAGCCGAGAGCCCAAGTAATCATTTTTCTGGTATCTTAGACCAGAGACCACGAGAGGAGGGCAGAGTACTGTACTATGGAGCGATATTGGCTACCTGTTGCTTGCTCTTCATGACATCACCATACCATACATTTCTCCTCAATGTGAAACAATGTGGTTGTAAATAACAATCTTGTAACGTTTATAATAGCAATGTCATAACTTACGCAGCTTGCCAGGGAGAAGGCTCCCAGAACAGCTCCCATGTCTGAACACTTTCAGTACCGTTACAGGAGCGGACAGTCCGTAAATCCCACGTTTTCCTCCCGTTACTCCTCCTCTGTCCCTCCAGGGTGGATATTAAACACAAAGCAGCTAAACCCACTGTGAAGCAGCCCAGGACACAACATGGACAATTAAAACACCTCAATGTGTCCTGTCAATCCTCAGTAGCGCTCTGTGTGCTTGGCTGCTTGTGAGGTACAGTTGTGATTTGTTTCCGCTCCGTGCGTCTTTGAAAGCGCCGGGCAACGTCATTGCGACGTTGACCTGTTGTGAACCGTGCACCATACGCAGTTGGAAGAAGTTGAAAAATACTTTGTTACAAGTAAAACTCATGCATTCAAAATGTACAACATTATCAGCATTAAATACTTATTAGGCTACATGTAGAGCTAATTTAAAGTACTTTATATACTGCTGCTTGATATCATAACCTAAAACAATAAGGTAATGTTTATTTTATAATTTATTTATATTTTGTATTAGTTTATAATCTAAAACATACAAAGTTACTATTAACTAAATGCTCTCAAATAAATGTAAAAAATACAAAATGTGATTCTATAATGTAGTTGCGTAGAAGTTAAAACTAGAATAGTCAAAATACTCAGTACCAGTTCCTCAACATTGTACTTGAGTACAGTACTTGAGTAAAGGTACTTAATTTACTATCCACCACTTACCATACGAACCGAAAAAATCGATACAAAACTATCATTTATAACATCTTTTCAATGTACAGTATATATATATATATTGTTTGTTCATGTATCATATTGAGCACTGAGCAGCAGTATATGACTAAGATTAAGAAAACAGTTTAGAGGCTTGCTTTATTACTCAGGGAATACGTTTCTTGCTTCATGTCCGTCAAAAAAGAATAAGACCAAGCGTATTGAAGTAAGAAGATATGATTCTACACTGTATTGAAGTAAACATATATTGTTTGAACGGGTTTTGATAATCACTTAGAAAAAGAATGTTATTCTCACTTTTAAATTCACTGACTTAGAGATTCTGTGTTTCACACACCAACATTGATCCTTATCACCACTAAGAGCCAGATGCTGTTTCTAAGTCGTTAAAGACATCGTAAAATAGGAAAAGATCCCCTGGAAAAGGTAGGGAGGGGAGATCGGGACGGAGATAAGAATTGACTTTTGACCTTAGGGGACTTTGGAATTTCAAGTCCTGGAGAGAACTATTGAACCCGGCCAGAAGCGAATCCAGCCAATCAGGACACTTGGAGGAGGTGGTCAGTTTAAACAGCTCCTCCCCAGGGCTTCTCTGATTCGCTTGGGAGAAAAGTGGGAAGGAAGAATCGACAAATCTCCGCCCCAAAGACAGATAGAAATACTGACGTTTGTGTGTGTAAAATTGCTTTTGGGTTTGGTGAGTGGCAGGTCCTGAGAACTGTGTCCGTATCGCATCACAAACCTGAAGTCCAATTTCTTTTTGGTTTGATGAGTTGGCGGGTCCTGACGCATTTGTCCGCATCGCATCACAAATCTAAAAGCCCGGGGTACCCGGAGTACTCTGTATAACTTGTATATGTGTTTGATTTCCTACCAGTAAACTCAGATAATTGTTGTAACTTTTGATTCCGGTGTTTTCAATTCCTTTCTTAATTTAATAGAGATCCAGCCTCATCCAACGAACGGCGCGTAGCAGAGGTATTCTACTCCTACAGTATTCAGTGGAGGCTGGTCTATGGAGCCAGCGGAGGTCGTTCCTCCTCAGCTGAGAGCCAAGTACATGAGTCATTTGTTTAAATAAATCATTGCAACTCCTCATTGTATTGTGTATAGTTAAAAGATTCAAAGGTTTTATTGTCATATGAACATAAGCTACAGTGTAGAAATGGCAATGCATTTCTTATGACCCGAGCTCCTTCAACAATGCAACATATATAATCAAATACAAAAATAAAAATAAAAATAAGAAATAGTGCAAGAAGTCTATACATGTAAATAGAATATGATATATACAAGAACAGAATCTGAAATTAAATATTGTACAATAAGACAAAATTAAATACGGTTTATTGCGGTGATAACTATTTAGACAAATAAGTACATTTCAAGATGAAGGTTTATCAAGGCACTTAACAGAGCTCAGGTGTTTAGCAGTCTTATTGCCTGTGGGATGAAACTGTCCCTGAGTCTGGTGGTTTTAGTCCGGATGCTGTGGTACCGCCTGCCAGACGGCAGCAGACAGAACAGTTTGTTGCTGGGGTGGTGGGGGTCTTTATAATCCTGTTGACTTTCTTCCTGAGCCGCTGGGTGTAGGTCCTCCATTGATGGCCATGGTGAGCTCTATAGTGAGTGTGCATTGTTGTTGCGAGGCAGAGGATCACAGGCTCCTGCTGCCCTCCCTCAGGGCGGGATCTAATCATATCAATTTTATGCATCGAAGTTTTTTTAAATGCTACTCAAGCTTGATAAAACACATTCTAAAGCTTAAACATGAAAGGATTCCTGGAACTGAATGATCAAATCAAATCAAATCAGGTTTTATTTATATAGCACATTTAAAAGCGATTTTTGGTCGAGCCAAAGTGCTGTACATGTAATAAAAACACATTACTACAAATCACAATAAACGACAATAAATTACAACAGATATATCTTAAAAACAAAATAAAAATAAAAAAAAACACGGAAAAGTCAGGAGTCGTGCTCCGCTCTAACTAGAAAGCCAGAGAGAAGAAGTGTGTTTTCAGTTTTGATTTAAAAAACCCTAGGGTCTGGGCCGACCTCACATGGAGGGGCAGAGTGTTCCAGAGCCTGGGGCCAGCTGCTGCGAAGGCTCGGTGCCCTCGGGTTTTTAGCCTGGTCTTGGGCACTACCAGCAGCAGCTGGTCAGCAGACCTTAAAGCTCTGGCTGGGGTGTAGCGCTGGAGCAGTTCAGCTATATAGGCCGGAGCCAGCCCATTTAGTGCTTTAAAAACAAATAAAAGGATTTTAAAATCAATTCTGAACCGAACTGGAAGCCAGTGTAGTGAGGCCAGAATAGGGGTGATGTGGTCGCGCTTTTTGTGGCCAGTCAGCAAATGTGCAGCAGCGTTTTGGACTAGCTGTAAGCGTTTGATTGAGGCCTGGTCCATATCCACATACAGAGCGTTACAATAGTCCAGTCTCGAGGTTACAAAGGCGTTAATAACCCTTTCTAAATCTTTAAAAGATAAATACGACTTGGTTTTGGCCAATAGTCTTATTTTAAAAAAGCAGGATTTTACTACGGTGCTGACCTGCTTGTCGAATTTAAAAGTGCTAGTGAAGGTTGGGGTCCAAAAAAGATGACCTCAGTCTTGCTCTCGTTGAGGTTGAGGACGTTTTTGCTCAGCCAGGATTTGATCTCTGCTAAGCAGTCCATCAGCTGCTGTAGTGAATGTGTGACATTTGCTTTGAAAGGCAGATAAATCAGTACATCGTCGGCGTAGCAGTGGAAGGGAATGTTATGTTTTGTGAGTATTGAACCTAGGGGCAGTATGTACAGTAGAAAAAGGATGGGGCCCAGAATCGAGCCTTGGGGAACCCCACAGGTAAGAGGGGCTTTGGCAGAGGAGAAGGCACCTAGCTGTACCGAGAAGCTACGGTCTGTCAGGTAGGACCTGAACCATGCAAGGGCAGAGCCTGTGATGCCAGCGGACTGTTCAAGCCGTGACAGCAGGATGCTATGGTCCACAGTGTCAAAGGCAGCTGTCAGGTCTAACAGCACCAAGACAGCTGGGCTACCTGAGTCGGCGGCTAGGAGCAGATCATTAAAAACTCTTAAAAGGGCTGTTTCAGTGCTGTGCATGGGTTTGAAGCCAGACTGAAACTTTTCATGGATTCCATGGATGGTTAAAAAAGACTGCAGCTGGGCATAGACTACTCGCTCCAGGGCTTTTGATAAAAAAGGTAGCTGGGAGATGGGCCTAAAATTTGCGAGAATGGAGGGATCGAGATTTTTCTTTTTAAGGAGTGGCTTAACCACGGCATGTTTGAAGCAACCTGATCTCACCAGAATGCGTGACTCCACCACGACTCCTTAACACTGCATTGCGTGGTGGAGTCACGAACTTTGTTACATTTACGTGTCTGCACCACGCAAACAACGCCAATGTAAAGTGAATGAGGCTCCTTTGTCGTGGTGCACACACGCATTTCTACAACGTCCAGCAGTGAGCTTTTATTCTATAAAACGTTTTTAAAATCTACTGTATAGCTTGTAGTAACTCACAGGAGGCTTCTTTTATTTTATTTGTATTCATAATAATTTTTATTTTTCGTCAGAATGTATTATGGTGCATTATTCACCAATGTTTGTTCTCAAAAAACAATGTATTGTAAGTAATACAACTGTGATTTTTATTAAATTAGTTCGTTTTTAAGGAAGGCCAGAGCTTCAGCTGTGTCAAAGAGATTGTTCCCTTTAGTTAACGTTATTTAAAAGATAATTATATTCCTATTTGATTAAGTACCCTTTATTGTATTACGGACCCAAAGAGCTGAGCGTCCATTCCCATTGGATAACAGAGCATTTTACACCCGGAAGTAAGTATTCTCCTTACTGTCCATTGATTTTATTTACAGTGATATCTGCACTACTCATCAACTCAAAAACACCAGATTATCCTTGTTAATTACACAACATTGATTGGTTTAAATTGTGTACAATGCTTTTGTATTTTCCCCTTTCGATTCGGAGAAACAAATATGTTTTCGGAGTGTGTGGATGGTAGAAGACACTACACTACCCAGAATCCTCAGCTATTGTTCCGCTTTGCCTCAAGCTCTGTGATTGGTTGACCTCCAACTGCATTCCAATGAAAAAAACGTTTCGTCAAAGATCAAATCATACTTTATTCAGCAGTGCTTGCTTTACTCTTTGAAAGTCATCACATGAATGCATTGTAATGAATGGTTTTGCTGCATTAAACATTACACATCTGTCGTAGTTCTTTATTTATCTACAGAGATCGGGCCTCAGAATGGACCGGAAACTATTCTTTTACCGTTCTATTTTAATTTCACAATAAAGTTAGTAGTAATAATTTGTTTTGATATTATTGTTTTTTATTAACTACTAGACCGCTGGGTCATGTTAAGACCATCTTTTCTGTGTTGCTGTGGGTTTTTTACATCGCTTTTGTGTTACAAATATCAAAACAATAACA